CCCAAAAGAAGGGAGAGACTGCCCGAACTTCGCTTTATTAAAATAATAACTGGCCCCTTACATAATAATAAATACATAAACGTCTTCCTTGCTACATTAACTAATCGCTAAATCCCTGACCATAAAAACCCGATTCTTGCAATTATCTGTTCTTACCCGAAGTATTGTTACATTCCCGTCCGGCTGTTGTATCCTAAAGTACCAGGATCAGCCGTCGTTATATCGTCTCACTATCCCGAAGGACTGGGTTTATACATGTTGATCAATTACCCGAAGTAGTGAGGTAATTGAGAATAAAGTTAGTAAAAGCTCAAGAGAGAAAAACACAAGACAAGTAAAGAAGAAATACTTACCTACGTACCCAAACCATCGACCAAATCTAAACGCCTCTTTGCGACTAAGCCAACCGTAGGTTACACGAGAATTTTGATTGTGGAGCGACTGACTCGCCGTTACGCCGATTTCAATATTGACAAAAAGTTTTCTTGCAAAATTTTGGTATAACTATAATCCTTTAAATCTAACCTAACCCTAACATAATAGCGAAATGTTAATTTTTTAGACAGAATCATAATTATGGCCTTATCGGGATTGGGAAATTCTAACTTGACCCTCCTAAAATTTAAGATTAGTGTGGGGCGTTAATGTCGGCCAGGTTTTAAGGGAGGTCATTTTGACCAACAACCCTAAAATCACCAGTCTAAAAAATTTCAGTAGCAAATAGTAGCAAATCAAATTTCGAGATCAGGTGTAACGTGAAAATGTTCAAGAAACCAAAAAATCCAATAATCTCACGTAACTCGAAATTTGTCTATGAAACTGCATTCTGCGTACTAATTAAAAGTTTTCTTTGCAAATTTTGCTATAAGCCTCTAAATCCAGCCTACTAGCAACACCCTAACCCTAACCTAATAGCGAAAGATTTTTTCTTAGCGAAATTTTTTTTACTGGGAACACTAGTCTCATAATTTTGACCCGGGTCAAAATAGTATTTCCCATCGAGATTTTGACCCAGACCGTTTTTTTTTACTTCCATTTCATAAAATTTAACATTATATACTGTAATTCAGGAATAGCGTTGAAAGTGTTGTAACAAAATGTAGAAATAATCAGGATGGTCCTAGATGATGTCCAGATAATTTTTGGGTTTTGACAAGCCAAAAAATGAAAATTTGCAATACGAATTTTTTTATCTCGAAATATCGGGCGGCCCCTTTATAAATCTTGAAAATATTAATGTAAAAAACCACATTTTTGAAGATCGAAGAGGAATTGGAAAATTTTGCAAGGATTCATGGGATTATATTTATCATAATTGTAAAAATCAAAATAACTCAACTTTAATTCATCAGTTTTGAAAAAACTAAAATTATTCGCTCTTCATATATATGGTAAGAAATATTTTAACATTCATTTTATTTAACTTAATATATTAATACCTTCTTTTTAGGCACCACCTTAGTGGTTTACATAATAGAACGGAAGTTTGATCCATTATTTCACATGAAAGAACTAGTAAAAATCGCTCTGCCAGTCCACAAACCTTATGAAAACGAATTCATTACATTTTATAGAAAAATTAATTACGGTTAATGACTTATTAAAACAAAGTTTAGATGATTTATTGATTATTTTGTAATAAAGATGAATATAATAGTGATAGTAGTGGTGATGATTCAGATTTAGCACTAATATTTACCGAAACAACGGTGAAGTTCTCTTGAATTTTTTATGCCTAAAAATTCAAAACTGGTTACTATAAAGTTATTTAGATTTATTGTTTTGTATGAGCTCTTTTTTCTGAATAAATTAATATCAACATAGATGTTTGCCAAATTCATGGGGGAAATCCCCGAACTAGAATCAGACAAAAGGTATATAAAAACCATGTTTTTGTATTTTCCATGGGGGCAGTCCCCGACTAGAATAAAAACATGGCTTTTATATACCTTAAAGCCAGACCTTAGAATACCAAAAATCAGTATAATCATTGGAGACTTCGAGTCATACAAATCATGATTTCTGGATATGCTAGGATCAATGACTCCTATGTCGAAAAAAATAAATCATTAATAAAGTATACAATAAAAAATATACTTTCCTATTATTAAAATTAAATCGAAAGTAGTAAAAAGGTACACGATTGAATTTTAAAATCAAAACAAAGCAATTTATCGAAACAACGATGAAGTTCTCTTGATTTTTTATGCCTAAAAAATTCAAAGCTGGTTACTATAAAGTTATTTAGATTTATTGTTTTGCAAAAGCTCTTATTTCATCAATATAGATGTTTGCCAAATCCATGGGGGAAATCCCCGAACTAGGATCAGGCAAAAGGTATATAAAAAACATTTTTTTGTATTTTCCATGGGGGCAGTCCCCGACTAGGATAAAAACATGGCTTTTATATACCTTAAATCCAGACCTTAGAATACCAAAAATCGGTATAATCATTTGAGGCCTCGAGTCATATCATGATTTCTGGATATGCTAGGATCAATGACTCCTATGTTGAAAAAAATAAATCATCATAAAAGTGTTAATAAAGTATATAATAAAAAATATACTTTCCTATTATTAAAATTAAATCGAAAGAAATGAAAAGGGTACACGTTTGAATTTTAAAATCAAAACAAAGATAGATTTATCCGTGATTACCCATGACAAGTAACCAATCAAATTATAGAATTTTTAATCCAAAGGCATTACGTATAAAAAGATTAACTTCTTGGTCGGCATTAGTTGATCGGCACTGGTTGGCCTAAATTTTACTCTAATCCTAACCCTAATTTAGGCCCGCTGATATTTGAGGCGACACAACATTTTCAGTCTTTTTTTATCAAAAGCCATGCCTTCAATATTACCTAACGAGTGTCTTCAAGAGATTTTTGCAACTATTAATGTTACCGATTTTTCAACACTTTATTCGGTTATATTAGTTAACCGCACCTGGTGCGAAAATGCAATTACTTTTTTATGGAAGGCACCTTTTAGATCTGATCCAAAAACCACAAATATTGACAAAATCGTCCCAATATTCTTATCTTTTTTGAAATATGATATCAAGATTGACCTCCGCATTAATTCCTTCAAATTACCAACAAAATTGGCTTTTTATTATCCTTCGTTTTTGCGGCATCTTGACTTAAATAACTTAATAATTGCCGTTACTCAATGGCTTCATGCGAATCCACCTCTTAATGAAATGACACTCTTTTATCACAAAAGAACAAAAAAAGAGATTGTTATAGAAGATGATCAAAGAAATGATTTCGTTATTGCAATTCTAAATGTCATTATTACCAGCTCAGAAAGAATTGATGATCTACAGATCAACATGAAAGACAAAATCGATCTTAACATGCAGAATTTTTTCAAAAATGATTTAAAAAAGTTTTTCGCAACTCCCGAGACTCAAAAATGTCTTTCCAAACTTGAACGATTCGATTGCAGTGGACAGATTCCTATATCCGATATCCTTTTAGAACTATCTAATTATGCACACAACATTATGACTTTATCGTTTCATCAAAGCAATATAGATGAAAGTAATGATGTGAAACATAAAGAATTATCTGCTCTAATAAAAGTACAGCAAAATCTTCAATATACACATTTTGAATGGCTCAAGAATGAAGGAGACATTTCATCAGTTATTTTAGCCCTTTCATCAAATATTAATTCACTCAAAAGTTTTGAGATGGTTAACGGTGTAGTAAATACTATTGCATTGGAATTATTATCGAAATGTTCTAATATTGAGACTTTACATTTTAGAGGACAACCGTTTATGAGTCGACATATGGCTATATTCTGTGATACAATATTTCCAAAGTTAAATTCATTACAATTTATTAATATGGAACGTAGAAGGGATCGTACTGAAGATACGAATCCTTTTACTAGAATGATTCAAAATATTGGAATTAATTCGAGTTTACGTTCTCTTTGCATTTGTGACAAAGCAAACCACCATTCATCTCTTCTTGATGCTGTATCTCAAATTTCTCAAAATCTTACTTCTTTCACAACACACCTTACTGAAAGTACAGAAAAATCTTTCATCCTATCTATTTTACGAAATGCTACGAGATTAGAAATTTTGAATATATTACAATTCAATTTAATAAATACATTTTATATTGAAGATGACGGATTTCTTAGTGAAATGGCAAAGGTTGTCCCTGTAACATTACGTCATCTAGACATATCTCAATTAGAATTTTCGATTGAGTCATTAGGTGAATTTTTGACAAATTGTGGAGTCAAATTTGTTTCACTTATTTATAATTCGGTTTATTATAAGAATTCTCAAGAAGATTATATTCGAAAGTTAGCTGACGAGAATCAATGGATAGTAAAAAAGTTTAGGGCAAAAGATGAAACGAATCATACCAAAATTTTTATTGAATGGGGATAAATTTCAGAAAGTATTAGATTTTGGAATTTATGGTAATTATTTCATATGATTTTCGTAAGAAGTTATGAAATAGAGATTTCTAAAAAAAATCTATTGATTCTATTTTTTTTCAATTACTGTATTTTTAAGAAACAATAAATAACGACGTTGAAGAATGCTATAAGGATTGTTGATTGTAAAATCATGAAAACCAATCCAATAAACTTGATGAACGGTCCATTCAATCACGCCATCTTATTGCTTTATATGCTCATGGTAGAATATTAATTTTGTAATGTATATTAGAAATAATGTATATATTAATTTTTTTTTTTTGGTTTTTCGATGTTTCATATATTGTGATTTATTTTAAACATCGTACTTTTGAAACCAAAATAGGCTTTGATCGTTCAACAAGCTAAGAACATTAAGTCACCGATAAGATGAACCAAGATTGTGTATAAAACAAGAAAAAAACTTATCAAAATTTTATTTCTTTTTAAATAATTAGTGAAAAACAGAATAAATAAACTCTAATTGAATTGAATTTTTTTTTCTTGAGTATACGATACTCTTATTGTTGATATTATAAAAATTTAAATTACTTTGTTCTTTTATAAATCTTTTTCATGTATTCCAAAAATATATCCTTTTTTATAACATTTTCATCCAGTTGAGAAATCAATCCAGTCAAAAATGCATAAGAATTTTCTTCATATTCTCTATACACTCCTTCAAGATTCAAATCCTTATAAATTTGTTTGATAATTGAAACATCTTCAGGATTCTTTTTACCGTAATGTTTCTGTTAAATATATAACAAATGTTAATTAAATGGCATCGGCATTTGAAAAGTACCATTGGAAAGAGATGTATACTTACGTCCAAAAGTTTACGTTGCTCAGGTGATGCCATTTTCAAAGCTTGATTAATACACCAAGAACATTTATTATCTTCAATATCTGTTCCAATTTTTCCGATCACAACTGGATCACCAAAACAATCAAGGTAGTCATCCTAAAAACGATTTTATCTTTAAATAATTTCATGGTAACAATAAAGTATATGGATAAATATATATAATTTATTTACTTGAATTTGGAAATATTCTCCCAATGGTAGCAAAATCTCCCTTGCTTTTCGGAATGCTAATTCGTCTTTTATACCTGCCTATAACCATAATATTTTTGTTGTATATAAGAGAATATTCAAATTAAATAGAAATAAATCAAACATTTTTACCATATGCATAGCCATTGCAACTGGAAGATAAAATGAATAGATTGCAGTTTTATACAACACAATAAATTTGTACCTATTGTGAATAATTAAATATTAGTAACTATATAATATTCGCAGGTAAATTGATTTAAAGTATTACTTTTCCATAGAAAATCTATTCAAATCAACATTATTCTCGGGTGCGGTTATCAAATCAAGTAGTTGGCCAAATTCAGTGTCTAATGTGACCTTTAAAAAAAAAATAATATGTACCATGAATATAGTATGATAAACATTAAATTTAGTCAAAACAAGGATATTACCTCATGAAATAATTCTAACAAATCAACATAATATTCTTCTTTACGGAAATATTTTTTCAAAAAGAAAAAAATTGAAGATTCCAAAATGAACGAATCATTAATTGCGATAGTACCAACTCCCTCCTATAAAATAAAAATAGTTAAGATAATAGTATTTATTACAATGCTTAACTATTTCTTACCATTTTATACCAACAAGGATTTCCGCGGCGTGTAATAGAAGAATCCATAATATCATCAGCAACGAGAAAAAAGGCTTGTAGCTAAAAAGAAAAATTCCAGATCTATCTTCAATTTTTTTTTCTTTTACCCAATGTTACTGAAATTATTTAATACCACAGTGCATTACCCATTCCACACACCATCCGAGAACTCTCGCCTTGAAAAGTTCATCATCGGAAGCTTTACCATCCTTCAAAATCTGCAAAGAATCAACTACGGACATACCACGATTCATTTTTCCTACATGATAATTAATAAATGATATAAATTTAAGACATCAAGAACAATTGTGCATTGAATTCTTATCTTACCTCCGAAAACATTATGACCCATGTTCTATATAAAATAATATAATGAATACTATTAAACATTACTGAACTGAAAAGATATTTGTTGTATAAATTAAAAGTATGTAACCTTCTTAATCCATTCAATTGCATTTTGTGGAAGTTTTCGAGAATTCGCTAAAGCTAAGAAGTCTTCAGTGAGTATGGCAAAAACATTTTCGAATTCCTTTTTAGCGGATGTCATTTCGATTCTCTTTCAACATCTCGTAAATATTCCATATAACAATATAATTATCCAGTATAGTCGTACAAGCGTTGATAATCAGTTAATAACCCTACGATAGGAAAATTTTTATGAAAATCCAAACGCGGTAAAAAGTATTCGCGCTATTTAAAAAAAGTTGTCGTGTTTTTTGATTACGTTATCACTGTAATCATTGTAATCATTGTAATTAAAATTTAGATTGCACTAACGAAATTATAGCCATCCATTTAAATTCTTCTTTTGGAATGAAAAAATTTAAAAATTAATTCTGGCCAAAATTACGTAGTGCAAGCAAAATTGGTGCGGCGACTAGATCAATACCTAACGAACAAACAATAATTAGATATCTTTTAATAGCCATAATATAACGATCATCGACAATATACACCAATCAGATAATTAAAATAAATAAAACCTTACGTTAGGGTTAGGGTTGTGACTGAAAAAGGGCTTTTTGTTAGTGCGCAGAAGGCGGTTTCATAGAGAGTCGATTGTTAGAAGAGATCTGATTGGTGCGTCTACGTCGATCTTTCATGTCCTCATAACATTAATCTTTATCGATATTTGACAGATTTACAGTCTAATAAATAAAGGAACCTATCAGTTATAATTTGCCAAATTTCAAATTATTTTATTCAAAATTTGACTAATGGGTTCTTTCATACAATGCAGATCTGTCAATATGTAATTTATACTAAACATTTGATCTTGGAAAATCACCCTTCGACATTTCCGATCGGGGCTAATAAGTAAGTACCGGAATTTTAGGTTAAGTTTGTCCGAATTAGCCTAATGATTTACTATCGCTATGTTTGATTACAGGTTTTCACTCATATAAGTAAGAAAACTTTTACAAAAGCTAATTGCCATATGAGATATTTTTTTATGTTTTAATCAGATTGGGCAGTAAAAATAGAGCTGTCAAATTTATGGAACTCTACCAGGGTGGCCTTCAAAAATACGGATCATGTGGTGGCGCCACCACATGACTCGTATTTTTGAAGGCCGCCCTGGTAGAATTTATACATATACGTAATAATATATAGTTATTGTATAGGTATTATCGTATAGTAATTACGTTATTAAATTAAACTACGCGAGTATATATATTATATTTTTTTCAATTAAAATTTTGTCACGTAGATTATTTTAAAGACCGAAAAAAAATGATAAACAGTCATCAATAATATTTAATTAATTCAACGAGTGAATACAGTATGGATATTTATTATATATTTAATTTTATCTAGCTCTTCATAATAGATAAAACATTATCGAAGACCTCATGTGTATTCTGTGGCATAGAGACATGACTTCAAACAAAAGATGTATTAACACATAGTTTCGTCAAACGCCGAATCCGGTGATTTTGCCGTAATATTAACTCCGATGATAATTTGTGAACATATTACCTTGTTTGGATAAATTTGTCACCAGGAAGTCAGGGATTTTATGCGATATAGAAATGATCTGCAATAAATTAAAAGACTACATATTCTAAAATCGTTTCTTGCAAAAAAAAAGGAGTATATCGATAATAATTGCGTACGTGCGTACGTACGTAATTCCCAAATTCAAATCCGGACCTAAACGAGTTTTGCTCGCAGAGAACAATAGTAATGCGAATATAAATTACATAACGATA